TGCTGCTGCTCTTGTGCCTGGGTGCTGCGGGAGTCTGGGTGACATAGGTGGGTGCAGCACTAGCTGAGGGACCTGGGCAAGGTGGCACACACCCCTCTGCTTAAATGCTGCCTGATAAGCCCTGCTCTTAACCCCATGCTGTTTGTCTTATCCATGGCAAAGGGGTTGTTACTGATGAGATTCTCAAGGCTGACTGTAAGACTGAGCTATATAGCTGCCATTGATATTAATGACAGTTACATGGCTAGACCAACCTTCTGGCTTTGGGAATACCAGCTTCTCCCAGTCTGTGCTTGTTTACTGGAGAGCCCTGCTGTAAGAAGTTATAAAGTAGCAGGGGATGCAGTATGATTCAGTTGCTGCAGAAGCTAAAGAGAATTAAATGTTGGGTTTTTTTTGTTTTTTTATTTTGGTTTTTGGTTATTTTTTTTTCTGTGAGATCCTCAGCTGCTGTAAACTGGCTGCTCTCTGCCAAAGTCAATAGAGCTGTACCAATTTGCTCCAGCTCAGGATTTGGATCTTTCAGGCTGCATCAGGATATCTGCTGTTTCCCTTTGCAGGCGTGTGAAACACTAATGAATATGTAACAAGATCTTGCGGTCAGGGGATTTCACTAAATAAAAATATATTAACAAAAATCAATGCAGGGCCTTGCTCCTGTCAGCATTTGTTCTGTTCCCCTCTGCCATCCCCATTCCTTCTTTGTTCACTGCGATTGCATCTGCATCACTATGGTAACTAATGAATGATTATTTAATTTACCAATCCCTGTATGCAGCAGTTTAGTGTTTAAAAATTTCCAGCACTGTCTGTCATACACATAGTCGCACATACAGTGTGTGACACAGGTAATACTATAGGTGCTTCATATTCTTATTTCAAGCTAAATCTGTTTACCTGTCTCTGCAAATGGGATGTGAGAGCTTTATCTACTGTGACAATGGCCACAAGCTAAACAATATGTGCGGATAAACATAGTTGTATTATTTCATTTTTTGCTATCAGTACATGTCAGCTGTCAGCGAGTGCACCTGAAATGAAGGCAGCACCATTTATATCCCAAAGGATTTCTGCCCAATTCCCAGATCTTAAGAGCTATTGCATGTTCACAGAAAGTTGTCAGAAGAAAAATGGTATTTCATATTTGTAAGAGCCAGTCAAAAACTGTTATTTTGGAGGAGTGAAAGGTGAAGAACATCTGTCACTGGCTTTCCAAAGGGATGGTGGGTCTTCAGCCATCTGAAGTCTTCCAGAAAAGGAGAAGTAATTGCTGGAGGAATGCTAGGGCAGCTGCATGTTCTTCCTTGTAGGTGTGGACTGTTTGGAAAATGTAGATCAGCATCTCCTTTCATCATGTTTCCTCCTAGCTCTCTACCTATTTCAGTGCTTTGATGAGCTGGAGATTTTCAGGAGGTTCCTAGACACCCAGGTCAATTTTTATTGGAGGGGTCTCGGTTTTATTCTATCCTAACAAGTTGCGTAGCTGACTTTTAACCTGCAAAGAGAATACTTTCTCAATAGAGCGTGCTCTTGCTACAGGTGAAGCAGGTAGTCTTAAGGGTTGGAAGGGACCTTAAAGATCATCCAGTTCCAACCCTTCTGCAGATACCTTGTTGACCACAGGCTGCAGAAGGTAGCCTGCTTCTTTTGCTTGTCCTTTGAGCCATCCTGGGAGGCCCAGAGGTAAAAATTCCAGGCTGCAGGCAGTTGCTTCTGCCTCACTGAGCTGGGGTGTGCACATATGTACATATGCAGAGTGTATTTGTAATGGCAAAACTCAGAAACAGCTGTTTTGCATAGGTAAAGCTGAGATCTCCTGGGTACACTCCACTTGCCCAAACCATTACCCCAGCAGCAGCTTTTGACATGGCGGCTATGCTTCATTGCGGTTTCATATCTGAAAGAGCAGGACCAAGGGCTCCTAAATCATGTCCTGTTGTTGATATGTAAGTGTGCAGTGATCCATGTATGTAGTTTTATTGCTGGTTACATGAAACAATAACTGGTTGTATGATGGCCCCCAGTTAACCTGTGGTAAGGTTAAAGCAGGAGCACTAGACTGGAATGAACTATTATATCCCAGGGTTAATTTAAAGCTAAAATGGGACCTAGAGCTGCAAAATTGTGTGGCCTCTCTGCAACAAATGTTTCAGTTCATTGCATATCAGAAGCAGAATGCTTTAAAAAAAAGTCTTGTTCCTGAATCCTGCTTTCCCCCGAGTGTGAAGCAGTAGAGCCCTAGTAAAGAGAAAGGCAAAGTATGAACCTGCAACTGCTCAGCTTCTGCAGCTTTCTCCCTCTAAGTCTACGCTAAACCTGGATCTTTGCTCCTGAACTCCAAGGAACCTCATTTAATCTGGACTTGCATTAGAAGCCCCTACAGGTCAGGATGTGCCCGTTGTGTGCTGCACTGCTGGTCACCTGGAAGCTACTGAGTGTCCCAAAAGAAAATTGCTGCTGTCTTAGAGGGATGAGTCACCTCTGACAGCTGGGTGAGAGATGATTTTCTACTTGTACACAACTTGAGGTTTAAAAAAAACCAAACCCTTTTCTGTTCCACGTACAGCTGAAACCAAGTTCCTTCTATTTGTAGGGGAAAAAATGCAGAAAGATCCTCGCTAAGCATGGCCAACGGTTCATTCATCAACTGACATCAGGTGAAAAAGATTCAACACTGCTGACCTCTCTCATTTCAGAAAAGTGCTCTGACCACAGAAGTACCAGAGATCTCCTCTGCAGCCTGTGATGTTTTTATGCAAAATGGAGTGGTGCCAGCCTGTGACAGTGACAAGCTGATTCTGGTAGGTAGTTAACCGCTTGGTGATTTATAGTACCTGCCTAGCGCACAGGGGTCCTAAGATCAGGTTTGAGAGAGCACAGGGCTTTAGGCTATTGTCAATTCTAAGCCTCTCCCAGGTTTTGACCATAAATCACACCCTAGAGGTGAAAAATCCTTCCTGACAGAAGTTCTGGCAATGCTGCTATGTTTCCCTGCAAAACAGTTGTTTCAGTTGTTTGCTACTTGCTCATTTAAAAAAAAAAAAACCCAGCACATTTCATTGAAGAACTTCATGAACATCTCTTAAGTGTTTGGCAGCACTGGATCTCTCAAAAGGCTCAGAAAAATTCAATTAAGCTTACTGTGTTTTGAATTGCAAAGGCTTTGATGAGTTTCCAAAGACTTTTTTTTTTTTTCAGAGTGGTCCATTTTATATGGCTTGCTAGTATCTGATATGCATCCTTGACATTGTAGCTCTTCAGAGGACTTTGGGACACAAGACCCTGGTGCACTGTGTAGTAGAAAGAAAGAGGATTTCCAAAGCATAAAAATTTTACGCTTCCACATGGGTGAAAAATGAGAGGAAATAGCTATTTTCTCACATTTTTAGTAGAGCAAATTAAGAGAAATCTTTGAGTACTTGATGCCACAGAAGGGTTTGGGGCTGGCTGATGATAAGGCATAATTTTTGTGGCTTTAGCAGGATCCACGTGGACAGATTAAATTGCACCAATTGCAAAAGCTGAGAAGCCATTCTAGTGTCTGTGATGGCCCCCAACATAGCACAGACCTGGGATTCTCCTGCTGTTGACCTGGTTGGGAAAGTAAGTGGCCTGCTTTGCTTCTTTCAAATGGATACCATCTGAAAAGCGTAGCTCTTCTTGCTCCTAAGCAAGTTGCCCTGCTTGTTTTCTCACCTCAGTCTCGCCTGGGGACTCTCCCCTGCCTTCAGCAGAGGTCTGCTCAGAGGACTCCTGTGTGGGATTTCTCAGCTCTTAAAGAAATGAGAAAGGTTGATGAATTTTTAACAAATCTTTCCCTTCAGCTGTTTGTCAGACAGAGGAGATAAATAACACCTGCAGTCCCATCCCAAGTGCTTTTGCACAATTCCTATCTCAGCTACTAACAGAGAAGTGGCATTTTTTATTTTGCCCAAGAGGCTTACTTAACTCATTCTTGGCTGCTGGCTGCAACCCATCATCTGGGATTTGTGTTCCTGATTTCAGCAGATGGACAGAGAGCTGACAGAGGGCTGTAAGACAGCACTTGAGCCTTACTTTTGTGGAAAAAAGAAAAAACAACCTAGTAAGAAGAAGACAAAAGCGTAAAGAGAATTTAATCTGTTTGTCTGCTTGTGGGTACTGTACCAACGGGAAGAAAATCAGTTTAGGTAGAATAGTGAGAATGCTATAGGCAGACTGAATCAAGGAGCAAGAAAGCGTGATCTTGGCAGTAATGCTGTAAGAACTGACCAGAATGATATTGCAAAAGGACTGTCTGCTCTTTGCATGTAGTGGATTCAAGGAGAGAACATTTCCTTCTCCCCACACTGAGACCATCTCTGTACTGAACAGGAGCAGTGTGGTGCAGAGATGGCATGGTGCCTCAGCCCTGCATAGGGAAAACCTGCACTTGGCTTGTGTCAGACAGGTGTCTCAGTGCAGATGCTGTATTGCCCTGTCCTGCTGTGCTTTTGCTGGCTCTGGAGCTGGCTCAGGCATCTCTGCTCTGCACCTCCATGCTACTGGAAGTATTTCCTTGGAGTTGAAATGAAATCCTTGGGGGACTACAGCTTGAATTGCTCAGGGTGATTGCCTGAGCGCGTGCATGAGTATATGACTCTTAGTGTGTAACAAATCTGTTTTGTGTCTTGAGATCAGGCCTGAAGTGTCATTTCTCTGCCATTGGTTTCTCCGTGGCTTTGAGAAAGAGCTCACTCACTAGCTTACAGATTTTATCTCAGGTATACTTAAAATAAACCTTTTACTTAACTATCTTTACTTAAAACTCCAGTGCTCCTGGCTAGAGTCAGCATTTTTAGTTAGTTTTCTACTTAGGAAGCACTAATAAAACATGAGCAAGGACATAACAGTCCTTTTATTCTCCAAGTACCAGCTAGAAAAGCTAGGCTTTATTTGTATGCTTCTGAAGTAGCCAGGGACACAAGAGAGATGAGTACACTTCAATGTTGCTCCTTTCAAGTGTCACCTTGGGGTGACATCTTACTTATAAAACTGCTTGGGGTTCTCTCAAGCTAAGATTGCTCCAAGGCAACACTTTTGATCAGGCATGACAGTGAAGTACATCCACTGAGGCATAACGTTGTTTGTGTCCTGCACAATAAATGGCAGTTGGATACAGGGATGATCTGCAGCAAATCACTACAGGCTACCACGCAGCACCGCTGGCTGTCCCATGGGCATGCCATGGCAGCCAGGACGTGCTAGTGGCCTCCCCAGGTGCTGGCTGCCAAACGGGGGTGCAAGTTTCAAAGGCAAAAAGAGCAGTGTTCCGAAATGCTGGTTACGTTTTGTCTGTCTGTTGGACTTTCATTTATTTCTTAACACTTCAGCAAGAAACAGCTTTGCTTTGCTTTTCCCCGCCCATCGCTGGCAGTCTATTATTGCCTGGTGTGAACATTTTCAGTACTCTTCCCTTTTTCTTGCCAAGTACAGTAACAGGGGGAGGGGGAACAGACTCATGCTGGTGTCAGTCTCCCTGTGCTTCTGCTTCTTTGCAGAATGGGGAAATGGGTTTTCTTTTTTTTTGTTGGTTTTTTTTTTGCCATTTTTTACCACATTGTGTTGAATTGCCACTCTATGCTGAGAGAGGCTCATCGTAACATGCCCTCTTGCCACCAAGTGTGTTGTAACAGTGCTGTGTGAAAGCCTGAATCTGTTTCCAAGCTGGTGAGAAAAGGAATGTACTGTCAAACCAGGAGGGTGAGTACTGAGCACAAATAAGGGTCGATACACAGTTTAAACAGTATATTTAAACATGTGTGTCTGCACATCAAGAAACCTGCTTTTATTGTGAGGGTGACTGAGCACTGGCACAGATTGCCCTGGGAGGTTGTGGAGTTTCCATCCTTGAAAATACTCAAAAGCTGTTTGGACATGTTCCTGGGCAACCAGCTCTAGGTGGCCCTGCTTGAGCAGCGGGGGTAGACGAGGTGACCTTCAGGGGTCCCTTCCAACCTTAAAGCTTCTATGATCTTATGATTATGGATATTAGGCTGTTATAGCCATAATTTTGTCAGGTCATAAGGGAGATAAGGTTTGTGAGTATTTTTAATGGACCAATAATGTTTATAGAAAAAAAAATGGACAGACAGACATACTTTCTTCATCTTTTGTGTGCCTAAAATCTTGGGTATTGATGAAAGGCACTGACTTTATCCACAAAAAAAAAATTGGTTTAATATAAACACGTGAACACAATGCAGATCTTGATAGTCCTCATAATTAAGGAGAAAGGCAAATATTCCCTTATAACTTAGGAATGTGAGCCACAACCAGCACATGTGTGCCCAGAGCAGAGTGACCTCTCCCTGACACCAATAGCTGCTTTTTCCAAAGAAAAGCCCTCAACATTCAAATGTGGAAGTGGAAAGTCTTCAGGAAACAGAGAAAAAAAGAGATGCTCACTTCCAGTTTGACTCAGTTTATCAGGCAACTGCTTCTAGTTGTCATAGTTCATTATGTTGAGATATAAATGGTATGAAAGAGTAGGGAATTTTTTAGCAGAATTGTTGGATTAGGCTTTTTGAATCATCTAAGTAAATCTCCATGATATAGATGCAACCAGAAAGATACTCCACTGAACAATATGAGGTCATAAGCAGTAAGAACTTGCAGGATCTAAGGGAGTGAGATGCTCAGCCATCAACTCTCCAAAATACCTGCAAACCAGGGGCTATACTCTAACTTCCAGATTGGTGCTGCTGGAAATTGCCTACCCTAGAGTCAGTTATTGGAGTCCCTGCTTCCTCAGCCTTGCCATTTAGTCCCATACCTACCTAATGTATTTCTGACACATTTCCACAATGTTTAATTAGTGCCTCCGCTCAAATATGACCTGTTTGCCAGAAACTGATGCCCCCTCCAGGTAAAGCTGTGACCTGATGCCAAAAGAGATTGACTTGAGGGAAATGCACGTAGAGGTAAAACAGGAAAAAATTAAAAAAAAAAAATGAACAAGGCAGCGAGGCCATTTCATGGTTTGCAGATTGACTTTTTTAATGACATTTTCATTAACAGTTCTTGATGCTAAATGCCATAGGTTTCTCCCTTTAGAGCTGTCTGCATTAATAATGAGTGATTCCGCTGGGAAGTGATTTACATAAAACATGCTTCTCTTGTTACAGAGAGAAGCTCTGTGCTGGGCCAGAAAGAGAAGAAGGAAGGTAAGTGCACTCTGTAAATGAAGGGCAGTTTCCTATGTTTGGCCATAAGCACCCATGAAAAATCACTCTCCTCCACCAGCACCATGGCCTGAAATGTTTGCCAGCTCAGAGTCCATACGGCATTGAAGTGAATGCTTTAACACAGGGCTGGCACAGAGTATCATGGTGGAAAGGCTAGGATCAGCTGGTGTAGAGGAGATGTAGACAGGAGTAAACTTGGCTTAGCCTTAAATGAAGGGAGTTTTCTGCTTGTTTTGTATCAGTTCTGCAGTGCAAAGTGTCTGGGGCCTATGACCACAGCTTTCTGCATTTCTCCTGCCTTAACTGTCATATAAATAGTTTCATTTTTTTGTGGTATGTCAAGTTCCAGACAGACACCAAAGTGAAAACACGACAACTAGAAACCAGAAGATGAAATATCACCTTTTTTTTCAACTTCGTGAGAAGTCATCTATTTAATTTCTTCTTAAATATGACTGAGACTTTACATTATGGCTTTTTCTCTGAGTTGGATACAAGGCGGCATGGACCATTTATTGCTAAGTCATCCCCTGCGTGTTTTCTTGTTGTAGAGGAAATGGTTTATGTTGTCTCATAAATAAAGAGATATGCAGCTTCTTAGCTTCTTCACACAGTGTTCCAATAGATTAGTAGGAAACATGATGCTGAGACTGTGATCTCAAAGTAGATTCCAGTCAAAGTAGATACCAAGAGAGATCTGAGTTACTCAAGCTTTCTAAGACTTCGTGATCTAAGCTGTCCAATGCATGCTTTCCTAGTGGGAAACAGTGACCTCCAAAATGTCTCAGCTCTCTTACCTAAGCCACCTATTTTAAGGTGAGCTTTGTTTTCTGAAGTTTCTTACCTCTCTACATTGACTGTGGAGAAAGTTATAGGTGACTTAGCATCGATCTGAAGAATTTCAAAGGCTATCTTTGCAATTTAAGGGACTTTTTTAAAGAGATGACAGAACAGTTTGGAAATGGAAGCAAAGCTGCCATGAGTTTTATTTCATTTTATATTTTCATATAACTTATGAAATGTCATATGTTTTCATATAACAGCCTGTTTTTAAGTAAGATGAAGATAAGACTTCCCATAAAAAGTCATTGAAAAGGCAAAAATTATGATTTCTTGTCTGTGGTAGACTCTTACACCATTGAAATTATGTTGTGGATACAGCTGAGAACTTAGATTTCTGAAAAGTAACATCTCAGATCACTGGGAAGTTACTTCACGAAAATAAGGGATCATTTGTACAGAATTAAGTAAAACCTTTCTGTTTCTTGCATTCCCATGGAAATAGGTTTGTTGTCCAGCTCATTAGAAATAAACATTTTGCTGGTACCTCAAATAGGAGGACTAGTCTGATGATGCCATTACAAATCAGAGAAGTAATCAAAGGCTTTGGAAGGTAAGCACTTTTATTCCTGAGCCCTTGTTAATTTGCTGGTTCGAAATTAAGGACTTTGTATGAAAACTTACACTGGTGTGTGGATTCATCTCACAGAAAGTGCCAATAAAAATTCAGTTGATGCTTTTTAATGGACAGATTTATTTTTGGAGTAGTTAGGAGGGCAGTCTGATGTTCTTGGTCATGATGTCCTCTGTCAGACTGCATGCAGACTGAAGTGATTTGTCCACATTGGCTTAGTTGTACTGTAGTACTGCACTCAAACTATCCTTTCAGCAGAATAAATTACAAAAGCGGCAATTAAAATTGTTTCACATTTTACCTTCCTTTTCTTTACCTAATTTCTATGTCAGCTGAAACCATCAAGATCTAGAAAGTGAAGTATCCCTGATTTTCGTGGGGGATTGTGCAGATCAATGTTTCTGCGAAGTTGACTGAAATGTAACTGTAAGCTTTTGGTCCTTTAAATAGCCTTGATGAAATGTTAACAGTTCTTCTGTATCATATCTGTAACAAAGTAGGAAGATTAGAAGTGAGGTTTGGCTTCAGCAAATCATATTATTGTCTTTTAAATTAGTTCTGCTGTGGGCATGGTGCCTGTAGTTTGCTTAATCTGTTAAACCTTTTTTTGTGTGTAAATTAATGTTTTGGACAATGATGAATATAAATAATTTACGTCTACAGCTTTCATGTTGTATGTTCGCTGAGCTGGATTTGCAAAGGCATCAAGCCAGGATGTAATTCCTGGCTTTATTAGGTTATGAAACAGAATCTAGCCAGAAGATACAACATCCTTAAGCTGTAACATCAGCAGCAACAGACAGACCTTAATGCTTCTGGACCTAATGGAATTAGATTTCATGTATGCTTAATGAATGCAAATGCCACTTAATTTTTACAGCTTGAGTTGTAATTCATTGCATGTGACACATCCGCTACTGGAAAAAATATTCAAATGTGTGATTCTTACACCCAGTGTCCAATGTAAAATGTATCCTCTTAGGGAAGAGGCACTAGAGAAACATGCCAGCAATATTACTGCATAATTTAAAGCAGCCACAAAAGAAAAATGTTAAAATATGCACCAGGCAATTACAAGTGTTGTGTATGTTTTTATTCTCCTATGCTGCTGTTCAACAAGGAGTAGTAAAGACATTTAAAGCAAGTGGCAACCATAGCAACAAGGAATTTTCGGTTCAACCTGGTGCTGTATAACTTCTGGCACATTTCTGGATACTCTGTCAAGTGTTGATTCTTCCAAAAGATACGTGCAGCACTTTCAGTTCTGCCTCTCAGGCACTGGTGCCAGAGAGATACAGGAGAGCCAGTTTCAGCACAAGCCCAAGCAGAAGGGTTTACAGCTGGGTTACACCAGAGCTGGTCATGGCGCTTGCTTGGTAGTGGTCCCTTGGGTTTGTTAACTATCAGAAAATAAGTCACATTCTGCTCTCTCTGAGAGAGAAAGGAAACAGATGTGATGTGGAAGAAGTTTTCTATCCCTTACCAATCCCTTGCTCTATTCATCTGTGGCTGTGAGAAGTCGCAAGCAGAGCTTTGCTCCTCTGACTTGGTCACATCAGCTACCTTGCTCTGGGGGGGTACAGAAGGTCCCCTCAAGCACAGCTCCTCAGGAGTGTGATTGTGTCTTTAGGCTTTTGCTTGTGCTTCCTGGCAGGTCCACTTTTCTTGTAGACAGCTAGGTGAATGTTGATCCTGCAAACAAGTCGGTGAATGGAGTATAAGGAGTATGGGTGATATGCTGAACTCAGTCATGCCTACAAAGAACCCAGGAAATGTATTAAGTTGATGGAGGTCTGGGGGTTTTTCAAAGACAGTCCAGTGTTTAGTCACTGTGCATTTTCCAAAATACAGTGAGTATGCATAATACTCACTTATGTCAGACAGTAGTCACAAATAAATCTGCCTATTGATCACGGGTACTGAGGTATGTCTCTTACATTAGTAGTCTTGTTTTCCTTAACCTTTCCTGGCGTTCACCTTAGGAATACACTTTGCATGCTGCAGGTCTGCAGCTTCTGGATTGAAAGCCACTACATCATGAGGTCACTAACTAAGAAACTCACTCATTTTTACAAGTAATTTGCCAATTGCTTTTTTCCAGACAATGTGGAGTTGGGATTGGTCCCAGAAACAATGCACTTGAAATGCGCATCTGATCATTTTATCTAACACTCCTTTGAAGGTTACTTATCATGAGATGCTGTGATAGCACATAGATCTCCTCTACCTCATTACACTTTAATTTGGGATCCTGAGACTATAAAATTGTTTCATAAATTATCTGGAAATAGCTATGGCTGACTCTGCATCCCCAAGGGGGAAACCTATTGCCTTTTGGCAAGACATATGAAGTTACCTATGATCAAGGCAGCACATTCTTAAATACTTTATCTCCATATGTGTAAACGCTGTATCAAGTTACAAGAGTAGGAGCAGAAGAAAAGTATTGCCACTTAAGAATATAATTGTTTAGAAAGGAGTGGATTAAGTGAGGCAGAAATCTCAGATCTGCTGCTCTCATTTTTTTCAGTAGCACCATTTTTTGGACTGCCTGGGATAAAAAAAATGCAGAAGGTGGGTAGTGTTATTTGAACAAATTTCCCAGCCACTATCGCATGTGGATAGCCTTTGTATCGTGCAGATTGTTTTCTTCCATGCACATATTTTGTGTCTTGTATTAGAGCACTTAAAGCATATCCAGCAGAGTTATACATCTGCATAAATATTTGATGACTCTAATCGTGCAACCTACACCATACTTTGACCCTTGGGCATGTAGTGCAACTAAATGTGCTTGCAACCTGTATATAAAATGTTAAGGTGCTCAGGGAATGTGTGAGATTGCCTGAAGCATCAAGTTAAAGCTGTTTCAAAATCAGAGGAAAAATATGTTCTTGTTTTATAATTAGAGTTACTGTTAAATGATTTCACATTATTTGTTTAATTAACATAAAAATCATGAAGTTCTCATTGTCACTTCCATTATAAACAACTGTCCTTCAAGGAATCTTTTACATGTGAAAGAATCTTATCTCTAGAAATCTAGTAAGAAAGATATTTGGGGCATAGGATGGTCTTAATACCATTTTTGTTCTTAGCAAAATTTTTAATTATGGGTTTAATTTATCTAGAAAAGAGGTGAATTATAATTATAGCTCCTAGAAAATCATGCTGCAGGATTTCTGTCTTTTATTTTCTGCTAAATACAATTTTTTTCTCTTAAAAAAACAAACCCTGGTTATTTTTATTTTGAAAAAGCTGCCTCTGAATTTGTTCTTGACTCATTGATAAGTTGAAACACTGATGTTGAGAAAGAAGAACACTTTTTTTTTCACTTCTTGTCCACATCCATCTTAAATGCAGAAAACCTGCAGTCATTCTTGTAGGTGGGCATAAGACCGGGATTTCCATCCTGTGGAAAAATCTGGTCCTTCTAATTTTTCTTCATCATGGCTTGGAATAAAATGTTGAGACAGGCTGGGGAAGTCCCAGTCTTTCCAGTCTCACATTTACTGATAATTTTTGTTAAACTGAAATGCTTTATTTTTTTATTTGTTAATATTTTTTTTTTAATATTTTTTATTTCTTCTTTTAATGTATCCAGGAGACTGATAATCTGCTTCCAGTTCCTCTGCTTTTCATTTTCCTCCCCAGGTTAAATGTCTTTATTGGACTGAACCTGTTTGGCCACACCAGAGTCATACATTACCCATCTAGGCACAATGTTTCAGCTGAAGGGGTAGCATGAGAAAATGTCCTCTTGGAAAACCTTGTGTTGTGCTGAAGTTTTGTGTGTAGCACTGCAGCAATTTGGGTGGATGCAGCTTAGTGCTCAACTGACACACTGCAAATTCATCTGAGATGTTTCTCTTCAGGCTGACATGATTCAAAGGCATTTCATTTTTGTGTTCTAATGAAAAAGTGAAAAATTACCTTTCCACAGAAGTTTTGACTTTACCAAGAACTGCATTTCCAGTTATAAAGACAAAGATATTTTTCCTGGACAGCATAAATCAAAGTTGTTTTCTTGATTACAAGCATCCCAACCTTGCCTACTGGATAGAGAAAGCAGAGCATGTCCTCCTGTACTTCAGTGTAACAGCTCACCCTCAGCTGTCCTTCTTAGCCTGGTTGAGGGTAATGGGAAAGGACCCACGTTAAAAAAACCTGCTTTTCAAAAAGAGGAAAACGTGTGTGAAGAGTGGAATGTGCTTCTTTAACATGTACCAGATAATCTAGGCCAAGCCCTTGGCCTTCTGCTTGCTTATCCTCCCCTTCCATCTGTCGCAAGAGCCTGGGGCCATGACCAAAATGAACGTGGCAGGCGCTCCTGATGGGATCCTTCTTGCTGAATATAAAAGTCTCCAGTCTCTGCGCACTGAGCCAATCACCCTGAATGTCCAGTATCGTTAAGGGAAGAATTAGGCCCTTTTATGGCTCTCTTCATTTGCCCTTTCCAGGCACTCATATCGGGACATGAGCATCATGCCCTGCAAGTATCCATTCACTCCCCTGTCTGTGCAGATACTCAAGGCAGCTATCTCAGGGGCAAAGGTCTGTGTTTTGTTAGATCAGTCAAGGAGCCTGTGAAGATATCCCCTAACTCCAGATATAAGGAAGCATGACAAGTATTTTAAAATTGGTAACAATCCATCATTATAAATGCTTAACTGAAATAGCTTTGTTACTTGTTATGCGTTGTTACATTGACATTGTTACACTCTTAATGACATACTCTTAGCCTGAGAAATGTTAATAACCGTGAATATGTGAGATTCAGATCCAGGAACCATCAACTTATGAAAGTAAAATATTTGCCTTCAGCTTCAAGAGAGATTTGCTTTTTATAGTAAAACTAGCTGGATTTATGAGGCTACCACTCAATATAAGGGGCACCCGTAAGTAGTTTTGGCAAATTTCTGACTTCTAAACGGCCTGGACTGTTTTACAGAGCGGCATCCAAGACCCATCAAAGTACATGCATCCATAAATCTGAGAAGGTATATTTATAATGAGCTATCTATCTGAGACTGTTACAATTTTTAATTTGCTTCTGAAGGTGAAACCCTCAGTTGCAACTCAGAGCTAAATTATATGGACTGAGGGATTTTCAGGTTTTTGAACACATAGAGGATATTAGCAGCTAAGGAAGTGTTCTTTTGTCCCTAGCGGAAAATTGACTTTAAATGAAGCAGAGGAACAGAGCAGTTGGATATGGAGTCTCTTGGGATAGTTGGCAGAGATTTTTTAAGCTAGGAAACTGCCTGCTTTTCTTCACTGGAAGAAACAAGATTTGGGAAACAATTCAGCAATTTGCAAGCATCTAGCATCATTTGAGATGCTCTAACAGTATTCTACTTCGCCTCCTA